ACTCGGGAGGCAGAGGCAGGTGGATCTCTGTGAGTTCGAGGCCAGCCTGGTCTACAGAGTGAGTTCCAGGACAGCCAGGGCTACCCAGAGACACCCTGTCTTGAAAAACCAAAAATGAAAGAAAGAAACCTGGTTTGTGCTCCTATCTGCCTTTGCGGCTGTCAACATTTTACTGGTTTCCCATGAACAAATGAGTGAAGTGTGCTGGGACCTGCTCACTTGATACTGGTTAGGAAACTTTGAGCTTTTCAGGTTCCAAAGCAAGCTGTCTATAGAACCCAGGACAGGAATGGAACTCCTTGGGGAGGACTGAAAACCAGGCTGGGGATGAGAAATCTAAGCCCCTCGAGCACACGATGAGGTAAGTTAGGGAGGTGTTTAGATTAGCCTGGGAATTTGGAAAGCGTGTGGAACCGTGGGAACTCGCCTCCATAGAGAATGCAGTCTCTGTTCTGGGGCCCTTCCTAGGGCCTTTCGGTCTGTGGGCAGCCTTCCTAGTTTCCCTCAGGTTTTGCTTCTCATGAGTATACTTACCCACGGTGTCTGGCTTGGTGGCCTGGATGTGTAGGTAGCCACTCTCCCTCATGATGCTATAGAAAGCCTTCTCCTTGAAGGGGTACAACAACTCAATATCCCTCTCAGTGTAGCCAAGAAATCTCCCGAAACGCCGGCCCAGGAGAGGGGTCAGGGTGTAGATATTTTTTGTAATGAAAGCTAGATTCAAGTGCAGGCCTTTCACGTGGCTGTGGGCAGAGAAATGGGCACAGGTGATTTTGGCTGCTATGAAGGACATGGAGAGGAGATGGAGGAGGAAGGGACAGGCCATGGAACTGAATAGCACAAGCCAGCCTCCTTCAGCACTCTGTTCCATCGGGAATCCATGGGCTTGGAGGTGAGAGACAGGAAAGGACAGTTTCTAGAGAGTTCTGGTCAGGGCTGTTTTGGAGTCTGCCAACCATGAAGGTCTATCAAGTGTGTCCAGCCTACAACGCGTGGACCACATGTGTACCAGGAAAGGTATGAATGCCACTCAGTGCACTGTGGTGACATTGGATTGTAGTGTTGGAATGTGGTGACATTGGATTGTAGTATTGGAATGTGGTGACATTGGATTGTAGTGTTGGAATGTGGTGACATTGGATTTTAGTGTTGGAAGGTTGGACATCCATGGATATCTCTTGTATCTCTGCTAACTCCTTTGCCCAGGTGCCTGGCCAAGGGTCACCACTCTTGTGTTATCCCAGGAGGAGGGTGTCAGTGTGTGTCATTCTCAGATATTGGTGGGAGGGGAACTCCCTATTCTGCACTGGGTCACCATGGAGGGCTTGGCTAGAGAGAGAGCTCCAAGTCTCCCCCCGAAGGGGCCTGGCATGTGTGTAGAGGCTGTACACACACAGATACCGGTGAGGCTGTACCATGCCTGTATGACTTCACCGACTCACTTGGGAACCATCTGGGCTATGTTGGTGCAGATGAGGGACCCCCAGTCCCCGCCTTGAATGTAGAATTTCTGGAAGCCCAGCCTCGACATCAGCTTGTAGAAGATCCTGGCAGTGGCCACCGTATTGAAACCTGAGTGTGAAGGGGACAGACAGGGGAGTCATGAGGATGCCTTTGGAGTACTCAGGTGCCCTCAAAGTGCCCCAGACCTGCCTCCCTCCAAGCTGAGGAAACAGAGGCCCACAGAAGGACAGAAGGAATCTTAGAGCTGCAAGCAGTGTCCCCTCACAGGGAAAGGTAGTGAGAAGTGCCCTTCTCAGGGTAGGGCATGATTCAATAGTTGCTACTCTGCCAGGCAAGGAAGGTATGTGCAGAGCTTGGCTAGCCACTGCAGGATGCAGGCCACACTGTACAGGGGCTTTAGTAGCCATGTTGGCCTAGAGCAGTGCATGGCTTATATGGAGCAGCCCCTGAGCAGTAAATAAATTTAAGAGTCTAGGCCTGAGCCTAGGCAGCCACATCTGTCCCCTTGACTCATGCCCTTAAAGAACTGGCCATGGAGAACCCAAAATGTCCCTCAGATTTTCTTTCCCAACTGTCTAGCCACCCTGCTTTATCTTAGAATGAGAACGTGGTGGCATCTTGGTCATATGAGGCACAGTCTGGGGGGTGCCCCCCCCCCCCCGCACCCTGTACCTTTCTTGCTGGATGCCTCTGAGAAGCCATAGCCAGGAATGGAGGGACAGATGACTTCAAACACGTGCTCGTCACTCAGGCCGTGGGGCTTGGGGTCAGTCAGCAGCGGGATGATCTTGTAAAACTCATAGAAGGAGCCGGGCCAGCCATGCACCATCAGCAAGGGCTTTGGGGTGCGGCCTGAGGGCAGCTGGGGAGGCTTCACATGGATGAAGTGGATGTCCAGCCCTGGGGAGAGAGCAGTCAGGGTGAGGGAAGGAGGGTCCTGCTGCAGTGGAGGCTGAGGTCCTGGGGAATCTTGTTTCCCTGTGTGCCATTCCTGGGAGAGAATAAGTGCTGTGGCCTTGGTGTCCCCAAGGAACCCATGACAGTAATAACAAGTCTCACTGTTGGGTGCTTACAGTGTTCTCCGGCTATGAGCAAGTCCTCGCTGACCTCCCAGTCACACTAGAGTGTTCTCTCTGGAGGGCAGAGATGGGCTGGGAACATTGCCTGGCTTACAGCAGGACTCTATAAACACTTGTTCACTGAGAACACATCAGGGCTGGGAGAGGCCCGTATACCCAGCAACCAGGGGTAGCCTTCCACAGAGCACTGCTGTATGGTCATGTGAAGGGACCATCATCCGTGTGCTCATCTAACACACAGAAGAGTTCACTGGTAGATGCTAAAAGCAAATCACCATGTCATGTCTGTGGTGTGATCCAGTTTTTGCAAAAGTTGGCCTAAGATTAATCAGCGAACCAGGTACCAGAGCTTGAGGGAAAGAGGGACCTGGGAAGGTCCGTTATGAGGCAGGAGGATGGCGGCAAATATGATGCAGGAGCCTTATATTGGACCAAACTTACACTGGAGAACACAGAAAGGGAATCTAGCTGGAGACTTGTTGCACCTGGGGACTGAGGTCACCAAATAGCATTGTGGATGGTGCAGAGACCCACAAACCCAGGCCCAGCAGGACATCCTGGAAGCCCCAGGCCCAGCACAGGCTGCCAGTCCTGCTAGATCCCACAGGATTGTCTTAGTGGGCTGCTGTCCAAGGTGAACTCAAGGCTGGAACTGTCCTCTTGGAGCATTTGTACTCCAAGGGGGCTTTGCACTGTAACACTCTAGTAACTATGGTTACTAGGGAGACAGTGCGTCGAGGCTGAGCGCCCAAGCTTGCCACCCATGAAAGGGAAATACTGCTTAGTGCCATCCTGGGCATCGGCTGTCCTGCTTCCTCCTCCAGAGGCCACTTGCTCTAATGTCAGGCTCTGTGTATTTTGTCACAAGAGAATGTGAACTTGAAGTGTTTACACAGTGGCTCTGGTTTTCTTAGGTGTTTCCATATCTGATTGTCGTTAAGGTTTGTGATAGCTGCCAGGAATTGTTGACGTGACAGGGTGGAGGGTCGTCTAGGAGACAAGTCTCTGGGCAAACCTTTGAGGGGTTATCTAGATTAGGTTAATTAATGTGGGAAGACCTATGGTAAACGTGGGCAGTACCAGCCCACGGACTGGGTGACTGGACTGAATAAAAAGAAGAAAGCCAGCTGAGCACAGGAATTCATTGCTCTGTGCTTCCTGACTACAGACACACTGTGACCAGCTTCTTCATGCTCCTCCCAACCATGACGTTATCACGATGGCCAGCACCCTTCAACTGTTAGCTGAAATAAACCCTTCCTTTCTCAAGCTGGTGTGTGTGTATGTGTGCATGTGCATGTGTGTGTGTGTGTGTGTGTGTGTGTGTGTGCTTAGGCCAGGGGAGGACATCAGGAATCCTTCCCTAACATTCTGCCTTATTCCTCTTAAGAGAGGGTCTGCCACTGAACTTGGAACACATGTTCTTTTGCCTGGGCTGGGAGCTGCCAAGAATCTTCACCTTCTGATCCCACATTTCTGGGGTTACAGCTGTGATCTTTATTGCCAACATGGTTAGATTGGAGATCACTGAGGAGATGTGTGTGTGAGGGTGTTTCCATAGAGAGTTAAGAGAAGCGAGAAGACCCGCCCTGAATACTGGCAGCCTGGGGTGGTCAAAAGACTGACTATAATACAGAAGAAAGGAGTAAATGGGAAGACCACCTTCCTTTCTACTGCTTCCTGAGGACAGACAGATGGGGTATGACATCACCCCGCTGCTGCGGTGGATTCCCTAACCAGGAGCCAAAAGAAACCCAATGGTACTTAACTTGTCTTTGTCAGGCTTTATGTTAGAGCAACGAGGAAAATAAGGATTCAACAACTTTCAAGCACACCAGAAACCTTCCACTGACCCAGGGTGCTACCGCATGGTTGACTTGGGGCCACTCATCTCATGCAGGAAGGCTGCTCCCGTGACTCACACGCCCCCTCCGCCAGGCTGGCGTTCTGGAAACTCACCTTCAATCTTGGTCTTGAAGTGGGGGTACTGATTGAGGATCTCCACCTGCTTCCTCCAGTCAAACTCGTTTCTCCAGAAGGACACCACTTTCTTCAGGTAGTTGGAGTTGAAGCCATAGTGGAAGCGGCTGCCCTCCAAAGGCGGGGATGCCCGGAACCTGTCAATCCTCTGGTGTAAGTCCTGCAGGGAGGAAGCCAGGGTGGGTGGGCAGAGGCAGGGGAGAGCTTGTGTCCACAACTCAGCATGAACCCTTCAGCCATAGATGGGCACCACGGAGGGGTCACACAGGGCCCATGTGCATCAGTGGATCCCTGAGAGGCTGATGGTTCTTTCCTATGGACTTCAGGCCACACATGGTGGGTTCTCCCTTTTAGCTCCATCCCAGAACAATCCTTACTCTTTTCTTTCTTTCTTTCTTTCTTTCTTTCTTTCTTTCTTTCTTTCTTTCTTTCTTTCTTTCTTTCTTTCTTTCTTTCTTTCTTTCCTTCCTTCCTTCCTTCCTTCCTTCCTTCCTTCCTTCTTTCTTTCTTTCTTTCTTTCTTTCTTTCTTTCTTTTTTTTCTGAGACAGGTTTCTTTGTGTGGCCCTGGCTGTCCTGGAACTCACTCTGTAGACTAGACTGGCCTCAAACTCATAGAAATTTGCCCACCTCTGCTTCCTGAATGCTGGGATTAAAGGCATGCATCACCACTGCCCAGCTCCAATACTCACTTTTAATTCACCAAGCCTTCTGTAGAGTAGGGGTTGGTAAACTTTGTCAGGCTTTGCAAGATGCAAATCCTCCACTTTCTCCTAGCAGCAAAGGAGCTGCCACAGAGGACCCCCGAATGAACAGTGAGGCCATAGTCACAGATGACCCCCGAATGAACAGTGAGGCCATAGTCACAGATGACCCCCAATGAGCAGTGAGGCCATAGTCACAGATGACCCCCAATGAACAGTGAAGTCCTGGCCACAGATGATACTCGAATGAGCAGTGAGGTCATGGCTACAGATGACCCCCGAATGAGCAGTGAGGTCATGGCCACAGATGACCCCTGCAGGAGCAGTGAGATCATGGTCACAGATGACCCCTGCAGGAGTAGTGAGGTCATGGCCACAGATGACCCCTGCAGGAGTAGTGAGGTCATGGCCACAGATGACCCCTGCAGGAGTAGTGAGGTCATGGCCACAGATGACCCCTGCAGGAGCAGTGAGGTCATGGCCACAGATGGCCCCTGTAGGAGCAGTGAGGCCGTGTTCTATCAAACTTACATATATGACTGAAGCTCAAATGCTACACAATCATTGTATACCTCCAAGTATTAGCTTTCTTTTGGCTTTTGTCCACACCGATCTCAAGCTATAAAAGCCATTCTTGACAGTGGCCGGTGCAAGAAAAGGTCACAGGCTACATTTGGCCCGTGAGCCCAGAGGTGCCAACACTTGCTGACAGCTGAACGACTTACCCTAACCCAGTGAGATACAGTGGATTGTCTAGGAGACAGGTTCCAAGTGCCCTGGGTGTGAACTAGATACCAATCCAGCAACCCATCTGGGCATGCTCATTTCAGCTCACGGAAACAGTTCAGGTGCCACCATTTCCAGAGACATCCCCCATGCTCTGGCCTTTCCCAAACAGGTTTGCAGCCCTCAAAGCTTAGCTTCTGCCCTCAGCCTCCTGGTTCTCAGTCCCCTCCTCCTTGGAACTTTTGTCAGCGCGTCTGATGACATTGATTCTTCCTGATCCCTGGGTCTCCAGATCTTAACGACGTGCATTCCTTTCTCATCTACCGATGCTGAATGTGTGTGTGGAGCTGTGGGAGGGAAGTCGGGGAGGGGCCGTCTTCTCCCATGCATTCCATGGAGTGCTTGCACCCAGTAGGTAGTCAAGCACGGAGGGTGAAGAAAGGATGGGTAGGACCATGTCAGTCCCCCAAACCCCACGCCCTGCTCCATCCAGGCTCTTCAGGAGGCTCTTCCCTTTGCTCTCTGTCCCTACTGGTCTGCTTCTCTTGACTCTGGGGTTGTGAGTGGCCTTGGGATTGCAGATGATTTCTAACTGTTCTGCTTGTTCACACAATCTCCTGGGACCCCTGGCTGTACCATTTTCAGCTTCCTTTTTATCCTCTGTGAGCTGAGACAGCAAGCCCCATGGGCAGCATGATAAAGATCACGATGGGCCCAGGAGTACCCAACACACAGTGAGGACCCACCTAAGGCCGCCCCTGTGATCTCCATGTTGTTGCATTTTTTTGGGGGGGCATTGCCTTCTACATAGGATCTGGGGCATCTGCTTACTTTCCCCTTCAAACTGTCTCAAGCTCCATCCTTTCAGTTAGGCAAGGGGAAATGAATACAGCAGCCTCCTGTGACCTGTTGTGTATACAGACAGCTCCCTGGCAGTCCTCCTGATCCATCCTGGGCCTCAGGTTAAGGATGGGGACACACAGGAGGAAAGGCCCTGAAAAGCAGACAGCTTTCTTGGGAGCAATCTGTGTCTTGCTTGAGGAAGAAGGCTGGACAGATAAAGGGGGTCACCGAAGGGCTACCTTCCAGCTTTTGCTCCTGCCTGTAAAAGGGCGTCTCACCTTGATCTCCTCGTCTGAGGTCTCCACCTTGAAAGGCCGGATGCTCTCATCTTCCCTGGCGGAGGGCTTCGACCCGGGGCCCCACCATCCATCTTCAAGGGGCAAGGTTTCTTCCTTGTCCCGGGAGACAAATCGGTAGATGACAAGGCCCAGCACCGAAGCCAGGAGAAGTTCCAGCCACATGACTCCTGTGAGATTGAATGGAAAAAGAGAAACAACAAGCTTTAACCTTAATTAAACATGACCGAAAGGGGTTCACTATAGGCCTGCTTAGGGAGCATTAAGTTACACAGAAATAACTTACTGAAGGTCCCTGCCTCAGTGGGACTGGAGCATATCATCATAGGACAGACATGTCCTAGACAGTATAGAGAGTGCTAAGAACTCCTCATAGCTCTGACTTAGCTGGAACTTAGGTGTGCTGAAGCTGTGCTTTTAAAACTTGCTCCTCAGGGGCCTCTCCTCTCATCAGAAGAGCAAGCATTTGACAAACTGCCTTGATGAATGACCCCAAGAGCTGCTCAAGTCTTGTTTAAGGCAGCGGTAACCATGTTCCTCAGCCTCTGTGATCAGCTCAATCCCCCCCCCCCCAACATCCCCCCCCAACCGCAAAAAAATCATAGAGATAACCAAAGGCTTCAGTTTCTGTTTCTGTAACACTTGCCTAATTGCTCAAAAATGTAACTTGGTGTAGGAGCTTAAAGGCCACCTGTAGAAGAAAGTGTGTGTAACATTATAACATTACAGCATTCTGTGTACAATGTGACAAACTGGTTTGGAGGCTGAATTCCCTGAGCATTAGCAGGGCTCCGGATGCACACTTTAAAGAGTTTTTCCTTTTGTCTCTGAGTGCTGGTTGAATTTCTCATTGGGTGGGGTAAATTTCCATGACAAGACGAGGAGACCAGCAAGGGGAATGACGTGGCCAGGACTTGGTGCCAGGCAGGCCGGAGACTCCAGGTGCCAATGGGCTCCTGCCTGGCACCTCCCCCCGTCCCCCCGCCCCCTCCCCCCCCCACTCCTGGCTCTATTCGTGTTTGTCCCGAAAGAAAATGTCAATGACGACAGGATGAAAACCACGCTTCTTGTCTCAGCTGTGTTTTGCTTTTTACGAGAATCCCCGGGTTGCTGCTTGTTTGATGGCAGCCGTCACCCACACTGTCACACCCTAGGCTTGCACACAGCCACTGCTGCCTCACAGAGGTAGTTCTTTAAGGTGTCAGCACAGTGACTGTGCACTCCATCTCAGACCGAGGGCACTGTCCTAACCAATCACTATGGAGAGTTCCAGGAAAGGTGCAAAGCTACACAGAGAAACCCTGTCTCGAAAAACCAAAAAACAAACAAACAAACAAACAAAACAAACAAACAAAAACCCTCTGCCATGTGTCTTTAAGTTTTTTTTTTTTTTTTTTGTTTTTTTCCTGAGACAGAGTTTCTCTGTGTAGCTTTGGAGCCTGTTCTGGAACTCACTTTGTAGACCAGGGTGGCCTCGAACTCACAGAGATCTGCCTGCCTCTGCCCCCAAGTACTGGGATTAAAAGCGTGTGCCACCACCGCCCGGCTGGTTTGTTTGGTTTTAATTGCTGTGGCTGTGGCTACAGTTCACATTCTCAACCACACTAGGCCAGAACTCTTCCTCTCTCATTGAGCCCCACATTCCTTATTTGGCCTTTAAGAATATCCCCTTGTTCCAGCTACATCATAGTTTATGATTTATGTGTTCCTGGACAGGTAAACCCACCACACTCCCACTATGTCAAGAAAACCATGAACTATTCTGGGGAAATAGCGTGGCGACGTTGGCATGGCCCTGGATGGGTCCCTGGGGTGCATTCTGAGGCCTGGGACCTTAGAGGGAGTCTTTGGGTCCTGAAGCTGCTAGGGAGGCTCTCTGCACACCTAGACCCCGGGGAGAGGAGAGACTGTCACTGTGGATCTTACAGCAGGACTTGGGTCTGGGACTAGAGCTGACTGGGCTCCTTGCTCTGTGCTCTGTCTTTGTAGAGGGCCGTCCTTGAGGTAGGCAAAGGGGGGCAAGAGGTCAAAGGTTCTGGGAGATGGAGTCCAGGTGGTGATAATGGATTAGGAAGCTCGTCCTTGGCCACCCATATCATCTCTGTGTATTTCCAACAGCTGTATTGAAATAGAACGCACATGCCCTTCAAGTGTCTAATCCAGTTGGTTGGAGTGTACTCATGGCATGTGCAGTCACCCATGTGGTTCTTGGCTCTTGTATGTCTCACTCCATACATAGCTGGTTCTTCCATGTCCTACCCTCCCCTGGGCCCAATGCAACCAGTTCTCAAATTTAATAGGCTACTCATGGCCTATTAAAGCTCAGAAAATACGGTTATGTGTTAATCTGAATTTGTTTGGTTCTTGTGCATTTTTTTCCCCCTCAGAGAGGATCGAAAGAACTTAGTTTCTGCAAACTAGTAAGTCTCAGCCCAGACTGGGGTCTGGCTCCTCAGCTTCCCTTTTCCCAGGGAGCAGCCAGCATGGCTATGTTGGAAGAAGGTGGCTGGAACATGAACTGTGTCCTTGGGACAGTGGCGGGGAAGTTTCCTAAGACACCATGTATTCAGGACCAGCGGGAAGACAGAGCATGGAAGGGGACAAGATGGGTTCAGGGTCACTCTAGGCAGTGGAAGTCCAGGGAAGGAAAACATGCTGCCTGTGTGTCAGCCTCTCCCTGGGTGTTGTAGAGGCCCCGGGATACTCCTATTAAGAGTCCCTTAAAGCTGAGAATCGGGCCAGGGGGTGCCCTTCCTAAATACACTGGTGTGAGGACCAGCACTAGGGACTCTGCAGTACTGGGGCTGGGTACCGGGCATCTGCTTCCTGATGTGTGTGGGAACTCACACGTGGAAACTGGTTATGTTTCACAAGTGACCCTACCGACATTCCAGGCCCGTCATCAGCCTGGGAGTCATCTCTTTCTTCCTTCATAGCCATCCATCACCAGGCACTGCTGTCCCACAGATTCAGCCCCCTCCCTGGCCAGCTCCTCTCTGGTCAGACTCCCATTCCTACATCAGATACCGCTGTGGCTTTCAGGACTCACCCTGATGCCATTAGCTAGAACCGCAGGCACACTGAAGGCTCACTCCAGCCAGCTTTAGAAGCCACGCCCTGTGAACACAGACTTGAACTGCCCACACATTTCCCTCTTCAGGTCTGCATGGCTCAGAGTCTCTGTGACAATTTACAGAGTCTCAGAGTGCGAGAAGCAGGCTTTGCCCGTCCCCGCCAGAGGGCGCCATGGGCATGCGGGGAGTGGCCCATCCCCAGCCTGGCAGGCTGGAGGTTTCTTTTCCTCCCCCCCCAGTGCCTGTCCCCAGGACCCTTGTCCGTGATAATGGTCAGTCAGGCGGTGAGACCAGCATTCCCTGAATGAAAGAAGGCTGGAGATGGCCAATCCCCAGACAGGCCCCTGACTGAAGGGGATTAAGAAAAGAATGTTGAAAAAGAGAGAGAGAAAAAGAGAGAATGTTGCACAGGTTTCTTCTTTTTTTCCTTAAAAAAAACAAAACAAAACAAAACAAAAAACAACCCAAAGATACCTTCTCCCTGACAGAACTCTTACTCTCTGAGAAGGGGCACAATGTCCTCTGGTGCCCCCTGCATTGAAGGTAGGCTAGGTGCAGGGTCTGTGGGGGACACAGGGGGTCAGCCCCCTGGCAGGAGGGTAGGTGCGTGCGGTTCACCCAGCCTGAGGCTAAAGTCATAACAGGTCCAGTTACCAGCAGATGAGACTATGCCTGTCTAGGCTCCTGTGGCTTCCCTCGCACCCCGCCCCACAGCCGGCACCGACAATCACTGCTGTTTTGGACCCAGCTGAACAGGTCCTGGAAGCTAATGAGAACAAGTTTGCATGATGTCATCAGGAGAGCCACAAGGACGGGCAGCAGGACAGACGGCCGGCCTGTCTAAGGAACTTGACAACCAGCCCCCCCTACCTGAAGACAGCAGGGAGAGACCAAAACACCGCTGTGGCTTTCCTTGGGGACAGGAGCGTCTGCTTTCCTTTTCGGGGCAGGATTATCCCAGCATGCTCTGCTGTCCACCTGGGCTCTGTGCTGGCTCCTTGAGGCCCCTTCAAGCAGCAGACCTCTGGAGCTCTGCACACAGTAGCGTCCAGAGCCCCGGGAGAGGCCGGGCAGACTGAGCGTGAGTCCGCACCCACTCTCTCTTTGTACACTTGCACGGCCCCAATGACTCAGCAAATCTGCTGTGTGCACCAGCCAGTTACGCCTCTGGACTTCAGACAGCAAACTGAATGAACTTCAGTGACCCGGAGGCCAAGTGCCAAGAGATCGTCGCTGGACCTCCATCTAAAGGAAGGGAATGAAGGACACAGAGTGTTAGGATGGCCCGTGCCAACTTTGCCCAGCACTCTCCTTTTTTGGTGGAATTTTGGTTATATGTGGGGAAACTGCAACCTGAGAAACGTTATATTGAAATTTCAGAAATAGTTCATCATTTAAAACCGTGTGCCGCCCTGAGTGGCATGATAACAGCTCCCATTGTCCCAGTCTATCCCACCTGCTTCATAAGTCATGCCTTAGTCCACTGCATCAAAACTGTATGTGCTAGGTGTCCGTTAGCTACCTAGTAGCGATCGGTTGTCACATCGACTATTACAGTATGGCAGAGCTGTGTCCTGATTCCATTTAATAACAGTTCCAAAGCTCAGGTCCAGTGATACTGGCACCCCTGTACAGAATACAGAACACTGTTAACATTCAACTGGATTATTAGTTAATGTTGCTAATCTCTCACTGGACCTAGTTATGAACAGCTTTATCATGAGTGTGTATGCATGTGTACACATAGTATATTCTAATACGTTCTTCAGTTTTAGGCTGCCACGGGGTAAAGTTTCTTGGAAAGTATTTTCTTCCAATAAGCCCGAGTGAAGTTACAATGGAGAACAAAGTAACAGATCTAAAGTGAAATTTAAATTGTTCTTACACTCTAATTAAGATAAGCCAGTACTTTGCTCAAGGAAGAGACCTTGAGACTCAGGACCTCAGACTACAAGGCAGGTTTGACTATAGTGTGTTCGTTCCACATCTACCAACCTCCACTCCTTATTTTACAGCAGGTAGTAAACACTATTCTAGATTAGCCCAGAGTAGCAGCCGGCATTGACCTTCTGTAGGTCGGGTCTCCAGGATGTGATAGTAGACAGTGTGTACAGATTCATGAAGAAGACACACGTCACGGAACTGAATCTAGCCCAGGAAACAACAGCCAAAGCTGGCAGGTGGGATGGTGTCACGTTGCAATTCCACACTGCAGAGCAAAGCGATGACCTCAGGATGGGAGAAAGGTTTGGCTAGTGTTCCAGGCAACGGAAGATTAATACATAGAACACACAAAGAATAAAAAATAAAAAAACAAAAAAATCCAATTTATAAATGGGCCAATGCTTTGAGCAGACACATCTCAAAAGAGGAACAAATAGCCAATAAACAGAAAGGAAAATGCCCAATATACTTTGCTATTAAGGAATGCATTGCCATTCCAGTAAAAATGGCTGCTACCAAAATATCTAAAGGTAGCCAATTCAAGTGAGAATATGGAGGAAAAGGAATCTTTATATACTGTTGGTAGGAATGTGAATTAATGCAGCCACTATGGACATCAGTATAAAGGTTCCTTAAGAAACCAAAGTTAGAAAAAAAAAGAAAAAGAAAGAAAAGAAACCAAAGTTAGAGCCACCATAAGACCCATCCATAGCATTGGTAATAAACCTGAAGGAATATAAGTCAAAGCATCCTCTACACATCTATGTCAATTGCTACCTTATTCCAAGGCCAAGAGACCAGCATAGACACCCATAACAGATGAATGGATAAAGAAAATGAGGAGGTATGTGTACACAAAGGGGTTTTTACTAAGCTAGAAAGATGAATGACTTTGCAGGCAAATGGACAGAGGCTGAGGTCATCATGTTAAGCCAAAAGTCAGACGCAGAAAGACTTGTGTTTTAGTTGCTTTTCTGACGCTGTAATGAAACACCATGACCAAGCAACTTACAGAAGATTTATTTAGAGAGATAAGAGTTCATCATGGTGGGGGAGCATGGCTACAAGTGGGGGTCTGTGGCGGGAGCGGGGCACCCAGCCCTCACCTCTTAACCACAAGCGTGAAGCAGAGAGCCCAATTAGAAGTCGGGTGAGGCCTTAAGCACTCAAAACATGCCCTCAGGAACATATTTCTTCCAGCAAAGCCTCAGGTCCTAACCCTCCCCAGACAGTGCCACCAAATGAGAGTCCATTAAGTATTCAAATGCCGGAGATTATGGGGGTGATTTCTCACACAAACCCTCACAAGTATTACAGGTTTTCTTTCATATGAGAAAACTAGGGAGGAAAGAAAAAGGTGTCTTAAAAATAGAAGAGACAGTATTAGTGAAAGGCACCAGAAGAGGAAAGAAATGTGGGAGTGGCCAGCTGTGGCAGCACACACCTTCCATCCCAGCAGCCAGGAGGCAGAGGCAGGCAGGTCTCTGTGAGTTCGAGGCCAGCCTGGACTCCATAATGAGACTCAATTTAAAGAAAAGTGTGGGAGTAAGAAACTTGTAATGGTAGGTGAGATGACTAGTCAATTATCAACCTGATGAGCTCCAAAATCTCTTGATGGGTGAGCCTCAGGGCATGCCTGTGGGGGAGCATCCTGACTGGGTTAACTGAGGTGGGAGATCTGCTCACTGTGTGCAGAACCGTTCCCTGGGGTGGGATCAGGAATCACAGAGCACACTTCCATCTCTCTCAGCATCCTGACTGGGATCAATGTGACCTCACGCTCCTGCATCCGTGACTGTTCTGTCATAACAGACTATGGAACCATGAGCCAAAATCAATTCTCCCTTCCTTCAGTTGCTTTGCTACGGTATTTTAACAGGGCGACAGAAAAAGTAACTAGACAGTAGATAAGAGCAAAGAACCATAGAGACATGTATAGCAACGTCAATGAAGCTCATTAGAATTCCTGTCTGAAGAATGCTTCTCTGACTGTCAGGGCATCCATGTTGCCCAGCTCCCAGTCTGCTCTCCAGCAGCCATTTACGGTCTTAAGCCTCACACTACCTGTGGTGGTTTGAACTGAACTGGGCCCCATAACCTCATGGGGAGTGTGGCGCTGTTAGGAGGCATGGCTTTGTTGGAGTAGGTATGGCCTCGTTGGGAGGAAGTGTGTTACTGTGGATGTGGGCTCTGAGGTCTCATACAAGCTCAGGCCATCTGGAACACAGCCAGTGTTTCCGACCACTTCCTGTTGCCTGCAGGTCAAGATATAAGACTCTCAGCTCTGTCTCCAGCACCACCATGTCTGCCTGCACGCCACCATGTCCCACCATAATGACAATGGACTAAACCTCTGAAACTGTAAGCCAGCCTAATTAAATGTTTTCCTTCATAAAAGCTGCTGTGGTCATGGTGTCTCTTCACAGCAATAGAAACCCTGACTAAGGAATCTACCCTTAGGGGCAGCACAGCCTGCCAAGGGCCAGACCACTGGCCGGGAGGAGGCAGATTGCATTTTTCACCCCAAAGGAAAAGCTGATAAAAGCCAGGCCATGGATCAGGATGGATGCCAGTCAGAGCCAGGAAGGCGGCCTATCTGTATGGCTCTGCCCATAGGCCTGCCCTCCCATCCCACAAAGAGACTGAGGAGCACCTCCCCCAGGACAGTGGTGCCTTTATTTTTGCAATCTGTAGAAAATGGGGTCTCCACCAGCTGAGCCATTTCTCTGCCCAGGAGTTCTAGTTTTAACTTAGGGAACCTCTTACCAATTTCCTTAGTGGCTGCACCCCAGTTACATTCCCAGGAGCAGTGGATAGGCTGCTCCTCCTCACATCCTCACTGGCAGTGGCTGCCATATTTAGGACATTGCTTTTCCATGTATTTTTTGAGGTCATTTCCCTCTTTTGAGCTGTTCATTTGCCATCCATTGACTAGACGATTTTATTTTTGCGGGGGGGGGGGGCTTGTCATTTTTGGAGCTCAGTATAGATCCTCGATATTACTCGAATCCTAAATGGTCTTATAATAAAAACCTGGAGCCAGATGTTGGGGTAAATACTGAAAGATCAGAGGAAACAAGCCACAGCCACTTCTCACCTCGCCAACTCCTCAGCTGAAAAGAGAAGATCCTGTCTCCACAAATCCTCAGACTGAATGCCTCTGAGTCCTCAGCCAAAAGGGCCTGTAGTTCCTGTCTCCTCCCACCTTATATTCCTTTCTCTGCCCAGCCATATCACTTCCTGTCTCAACCTTCCTAGTGCTGGGATTCAAGGCATGTGACTCTCAAATACTTGAATTAAAGATGTGTATCACCACTGCCTGGCTGTTTCTCTTTTATTTATTTATTTTTATTTTTATTTTTTAAAATTTATTTGTTATGTATACAGTGTTCTGCCTGCATGTGTCCCTGCAGGCCAGAAGAGGGAGCCAGATCTCATTACAGGTGGTTGTGAGCCACCATGTGGGTGCTGGGAATTGAACTCATGACCTGGCCGCAGATGACGTTAAAGAGCTATATTGACAAAAACATCAGTGCAGTCAGTGCTCTTAACCTCTGAGCCATCTCTCCAGGCCCTGTTTCTCTTTTAAACTGGATTAATCTCATGTAGTCCAGGGTGGCTTTGAACTCACAGAGATCCATCTGGCTCTGCTTCCGGAGTGCTGGGATCAAAGCTGTGGACCACCACTGCCCAGTCAGAGACTCAGGCCGTACATGAAGGTCTTTGATGCACTTTGAATGGATTTTTGCACAGGGTGAGCGACGTGGTCTAGTTTTCTTCTGCGCTTGAATATCCCGTTCTCTCATCCCCGTTTGCTGAGGCTTTCTGTCGAGGTGTTTTTGACACCAGGGGGAATCATCAGGGGCTGTCACTGCATAGGTCTATGTCTGGGTCCTCCACTGCAGTCCATTGGTCTGCATGTCTATGCTTGTGTTCTATCATGATGTTTTTGTCAATATAGTCTTTAACGTCATCTGCGGCCAGGTACTGTGGCATTTCCAGCACTGCCTTTTCTGCTTGGAACTGCTTTGGCTATTTGGGGCTTTTTGTGTTTCCATATAAATTTTGTGAGTTTTTTGAAGTCTTTTTTTTTATGATTTGTGAAATGTATTGTTGGAATTTTGATGGGTACTGAGTTCAATCTATAGATCACTTTCAGTAATATGGGCAATTTCACAATATTAACTCCACCTATTCATGAGCAGTGGAGACATTTCCATCTTTTAGTGCCTTCTATTTCTTCATTACAGTGTCTTAAAGTTTCTATTGTAGAGGCCTTTCATCTCCTTTGCTACCTTTAATCCTGTTTTATTTTTTATTAACTTTAAAATGTTGTTCTTTGATGTAGATGGTGCTTTGCCTGCATGTATGTCTGTGCACAGCATGCATCAATGGTGCCTGCAGAGGCCAGAACAGGGCACTGGATCTCCTGGAACTGGAGTTACGGATGGCTGAGTCGCCCTGTGGGTGTTGGGAATTTGAACCTCTGGAAGAGCAGCCAGTGCTCTTAGCTGCTGAGCCATCTCTTCAGCCCTGGTATTTTACTTTTAAAAGTTATTGTGAGTGGAGTCTGATTTCTTTCTCAACAAGTTTGTTACCGCCACATAGGAAAGCTTTACATGATGCTTTGGTATCCTGTTCGTTGCTGAGAGTGTTTATCAGCTAAGAGTGTTCAGTAGCATCTTTAATTTGTTTTTATATTAGATTTTTGCTCACATACATGCCTGTGTACCACACGTGTGCCAGCAGAAGGTGTCAGATTCCCAGGAACTAGAGTTATAGATGGTTGTGATCCCCATGTGGGTGTTGGAACCCAGGTCCTCTCAAAAAGCAGCCAGTGCTCTTAACCTCTGAGCCTTCTCTCCAGCTCCCTTTAGGGTCTTCTAAAGATAGGATCATGTATTCTAGAAATAGGTATAGATTGATCTTCTTTCAAATTTTTACCTTTTTTTTTTTTTTTTTTTTTTTAAAGAAATAAACCTTTAAGTGCAGAGCACTCACACGTCATTCTCAGTCTGTCCCGTGTGGCTTGTGTTCCCATGCATCCACACCATGTTAGCTTCTTGTCCCTTACTCACCAGTCTCAGTATGGTTAACCAGATCAGTGGTCAGTGCTTGGGGCCAGGTGCCATTATTTCACTTAACGATGGCCCTGGTGAGCAAGGGGAAATCATGTGGCATTCGGAATGCCAAAGAGGGACTTTGAAGCAATTCCCTCAAGTGAAACGTGAATGTTCTTGACATACGAGTATAGAAAAAGATATCAAGTGCTGAGACTCTTGGGGATCAAATCTTTGGCCCATAAACTTATGAAGAGGGAAGAAGAAATTTCTGTCATAGTCACCGTGGCTCAGAGTCACTGTGGCACCACACACCACGCCAGCTCCAGTCACAGTGTGCAGTAAGTGGTGGATTTACGGCTTTATGGCAGTTTCACGTAACTGTTGGGAATCTTGGGAGGCCTCCCCTGTAGATAAAGGGGAAGCCTTGTGGGGTGGATGCCCACCCCCTGGGCTGTAGTGCCCTCCTCGCTTGCCCTCTCTCAGACCCACTCACTGCCTGGAGAATTGGGTTTTCAGGGCAGCCATAACAGGAGGCTCTGTGGATGGGTGAGGTCCTCTGACAGCCACAAGGGGGCGGCAAACACACACGACTCTGAACTCAGCAACCGCAGGAGGCATCTGCTCCACAGGGGTAAGAGGCCAGGACCCCTTTCCTTCCTGGGTCTCCTCTCCTCTAGCCTCCAGATGTTGCCTCAGCGAGAGGCTGAGGCTCAGAGTCCCAGATAGCGGGGCAGTGAAGGCTGCTGCCCTCACAGTTGAAGACAGGAAAGCAGCCCTGGGCTTTGCAGTGGATACCTCCTTGAGGTCAGGGACTCTTCTTAGAATAGTCTGTCCTTGGACAAGTCCCTCATGAGAAGGTCCCCAGGGACCGTCATCACTCAAGGGCACCTGAGGCCCTGCCAACAGCAAGAGAATAGGCCAGGTGGGTGCTGGAGATCCCTCATTCCCAGCCTGTGTGGGGAGGAGGCGTAGCTGACCCACACCCATCTCCACAGACAGCCTGGCTTCCCAAATAAAGGTGGGAATTCTTGTATAATATTGGAGGAACCAGCCTCAATATTATACATCCCAGGTGCTCAGGAGAGAGATCTACTAATGGTGAGAACTATTTTCAGGAAATAGAATCTCAGCACACCGAGCTCTATAGTCCACTTGCTTTAATTCCTCTGGCATAACATCCTTTATACACAGTTCAGTTCTGTTCTCCTGTCTAGCTCCTTTCTTGCCTGATTTCTCTCTATATTTATCTACTGTCCCCTCTAGGTTCTATCTTAATTCCTTCATCTGGTTCTGTCCCTTCTAGGTTCTCATCTATCTAGTTCTTTCCCCTATCAGCTCCTCTCTCGTCTCCTTCTCTCTCATCTGGCTCTTCCTCATCTTGTTCTTCCCCA